TCTAGTTTGCTCCTCTTTAGGCCCAAAGATAATAACTTCAGTTTTATTTCTGTTCAGCTGGAGAAAGTTTTGGCACATCCACACATATATCTGTTCTAAACATCTATTCAGTGATTGGATGGGTTCAGAGTGACATCGTGACCGGTGACATTAGCTGACTTGTGATGTTAATTTTATTGTTCCTTTGGATTTAAAATATAAAAATAAAGTTCATGTGTAGCTATTGCATTCATTGCCTAAATACAAAAGGTTGCACGTTAAAAAAAAAAGTGCCAGAATGTAATTACATATGTAAAGAGGAATAATAAACTGAACTGAGTCTTTATTATGTTTAGGCCAGCAATGAGTTTTTCTATAAGATAAAATGAAATATGTGGGTTTAGTTAACTCCAACAGAACTTCAACCTCCAGGTTCTCCATGTTCCAGCTGCTGTGCGCTCACGTCCCGCCCACCATAGTGAGGAACGCGAACCATCTTCTGAGGTAAGCGTGATGTGCATCTAGAACAGGGGTGGCAATCCTGGTCCTCGAGGGCCAGTGTCCTGCAACTCTCAGATGTCTCCCTGGTCCAACACACTTGAATCCAGTAACTGAATCACATCCTCAGTGCAGTCAAGTTCTCCAGAGTCCTGCTAACGACCTCATTATTTGACTCAGGTGTGTTGAAGTAGATATGCATCTAAAAGTTTCAGGAGACCCTCCAGGCCTGGAGTTGCCCACCCCTGATCTAGAAAGAAAGGAAGTTAACGGTTGATGTCAGTGGGAATGTACAGAAACGCACTGCATTCACCAGAGGAACAAAAAGGGGCTTCATCTCATAATTACTCGATCAGGATCTCGTGAGAAAATATCTTTCAATAACTACACTGTTAAACAAGTTACTTGAGCTCAAACAATTTGAGGAAGCGGATTGCCTCAGACAGTTTAGGTTTATTGAACTAAACAATTGAGTTTTAAAAAACATAAAATTTAAGAATATTTTCTGTGAGAGCAGCAGGGGGAAAAAAGTGATAGTACCAGTTTATTATGGAAAGTGAACTATAAGTATCCTACACTCATAATGTAATAACTTTTAAATTACTTAAAGCGTGTTGATTGTACTCATCACTGAATCAGACTAACTTGGTAAATTTCATTTAAAGAAGATCCTATTCAGCAAAGTTATTCAGTTTCATTCTTCCTATATAATTATAACTGCGACAGGCTGGACCTGTCCAGGGTGACCCCGCCTCTCCCCCCGGAACGTTAAATGGAGATAGGCATCATCAGCAAAACCTCCCAACCCCACTAAGGGACAAGGGTGTATAGAAAATGGATGGATGGATGGATGGATATAATTATAACATTCTAGTTGTCACAGCTACTCAATTCATTTGAGGAACCCGAATGCCTAGAATTATTTAAGTTACCTTAACCCAATACAGACAGACATATTATACAATAAAACGAAATATGGAGTTTACTTTTAAAAAATTATGCAAACTTGCCTCAGAAATAGTTTTCAAAACTTAAAAATGTAGGTATTCGCAAGCCGTAACTAATTGAGTAACATTGACTTTTTAGTGAGCGTAATTTAAGCTAACTTCATAAATCAGTGAGGAAATTGTAATGACTTCACCCTGCTTTGTGATAAAGGGGCCAGGAGTGACGCATCAGGCTTCATGTCCTGTCCTTTCCTTCTTCAGATCTACCTTCCAGTCTATTGGCGGCGGTAATGCGCTTCATTTAGTTTACCATCCGCCAATAAAAGAAGAAGGAGACGCAAGCTACCGCCCTCTTTCTAAGCAAGATTCTATTGCACTCTACGGTGTTATCAAACCGATATCTGGCATTTAATTATTGAAAACATCCTGACGAGAAATGAGCATTTAGTTCTTAAACCAACTGCGGAAGTATACCAAAGTAGCTCGCCGTCAAAGTAAATTAAGAGAACTAACATGAATCACAGTTGCATTTTTAATAATAGCGAACATCATTGTTTTTAATAATGTCCTTTTTCATTGTAACTGAATAAGTTTGGTCTTTTCAGCCATATTTTTAATAGCCGTGACATACAATAAAATATTTAAACATAAAACGAAAAAAAATATGAAGAAAATAGTTCAGAATTGGAGTGGCTTCTGTTTAAGATGCAGCATTATAATTTAAAAATAATAAATGTATTCGAGCACCAAATTCCCGTAAACAGAAGGGTCAAGTATTTGCCTGGAAGCCATTAGTTTCAGCTAACTTGATCCAACGCCTCCCTTCAGTTGACCGAAGAAGACTTCCGGTGGCTTGTCATGGCGGTGGATCCATGGTGAATCCAATAGAAAAGGGAAAATATTCGCCCGCTTTGTCCTTTCTAACCCACCCAAGTCATATTTTCATGGGGAAATACGTCTGTCTACACCGACTCTAAACCTCGGACTTCCCACCAGAGCTGTGTGTCCCCACGGCCGGCCATGGCGGCTCACAAACCAGTGGAATGGGTCCAGGCCGTGATTACCCGATTTGATGAGCAGGTAAAATGGGCTAATTGAGGTGGGCTAATTCAGCGGCTTTGTTGTAGTAGCATAGAGGTTTGGTCTTTACACAGATGTTAAATGCACATTGAGTTAGGAAGCGGTTTTCCAGTCAACTAAAGAAATCAACCTGTGTTTAAAACACTAAAGATGAGCTCGGTGCTGCTAACGTCGTTTCTTCCCAGTTCTCATGTTTCTCGCAGTTCAGCCGTCTTGGGAAGAAGCGATCAGACTTAGAAAGATGTACAGTAAAACATCGTTACAGAAGTTTTAAAGATGAATGAGCTGAGTGGAGCTACTTGGCTAATTTTATTTTATCCCGGATAGCAAGCTAACAGTAGCAGGCCAAATGCACCCGGTCGTAAACAAATGCCCTGCTAAAGTTCCTGCTGTGGAGTCCAAGCCAGTTTTGCTTCCTTCTCATATCTGAACAGTTTAATGTTCAGAACAGTTTAATGTTCAGATATGTGCGGCAACTTGAAGCTGCTTCCTGTTAGCAGGTGAAACAACAAAGTTATTTTCTTCTTTTTAAAGAAACCGTTTTGTTGACGTGTTCTTGGCATTGCTTCTGGAAAACACTTGGAAAAATGATGATCGTAAAATCAGAGAATGCTGACGTCGGTGTTCTAATCACTTATTCATGTCTTTGTTCTCAAAGCTTCTTAGAGTTTTTTTTAGTGTTAATTGGCATAAATTATGGCTTGTTACTCGGATTTACCAGCTCAACTCGGATTACAGCAGTTAAGAGTTATTGCTACCCTGAACTCCAACTAAAGCCTTTCTAATATTTTGGTTAATCTTGGTAATCTTATTTGTGACATGAACAGTTTTATTTTCTTCTAGCTTTTTTGTTGTGAAGTTGGCAAAATGTATGTTTTTCTTAGTGACGAGGGTGCGGGGGAATACTTATGAGCTTGAGTTTGACTGTGGGTCTTACCTTATATTGTCTAATACACAGCTCTGTTTTGTTAAGGTAATTTTATTTATATAGCACATTTTCAGCAACAAGGCAATTCAAAGTGCTTTACATGAGTTTAAGGGAAATGCAAACAAAATAACAAACCAAAGGAAATCAAAAAGAGGAAAGAAATCTAATCTAATGTTGTTCTAAAGTGTGTAAACTAAGTGCTCCTGTTCAGGGTTGCTAAGTATCTAATACCATTTCTAAATAGTGAGTACTCTACAGTTTCTGGTAAAATAAGCTAAAGAATGACTGATCTAAATCCTTTTCTGGGTTAAAAGTCATATAAACTAAGCAGTGACTGTTCCTGTTAAGTATTTCTGGATTCCAAGTTCGTAGTTATTCTAATTCTAATTCTGATTCCATTTCTAGGCTGTATAATACTGATCTAAATAGTGCGTACTCCACAATTTCTGATATTACTAATAAACTAAAATAATCCTTTTCTGGGTTAAATAGGGAGTACTCCACCGTTTCTAAAACAAAAAAGAGGAAAGGACACATTAAGGCAAATGGCAACATTCAGACAAAACAATGGGCAAAACAACGATACGAGTGAAGGCGGTGACGTCAAAGGGCCATGAAGTCACGTTACTGAGCCTCCTGGCAAAGTCTGATAAAGGTGTTGTTTATCCAGGAATGTCCTTAGGAGCGTTCAGCTTTGCAACTCCATGGATACAGGAGGGGGTGAGGAGGGAAGAGCATTGTGTTTACATATCTTCAAGGAGATTAGAAATATGCAGCCCTTCCAAGGCCACATGGGGAAAGTCAATTCAGATACAGAATGTCTTAGGTCGGGAAGATTATAAATTTCAATCTTCCCTAAAGTCTCTCCGATACATCTCAGTTCCCAATTATCCAAACTATTTTGGTCGTTCCACTGAACCGAAACTAGCAACTTCTCCAAGATCTATTCCAGCCCATTAGTGAGTTTTAGAGTCCTTGTCTCTATCCACACCAACAGTCTGAGTGTTCGCTAGTTCAGCCAAGTCCGTCACAAATTTGTCGATAATCCAGGAATCCACAAGCTCCAAACAGCAGAAATCCTGTTATGAATAAATCCAGGGTGAATCCTGCCGGTTGTGTCCCCGCAGGACAAGAGGGCTCTCCTGTGCCCAGACTTCTTGTCGAAAATTTGACCAATTGCATTGAGAGATCAGTTGACCAGATCCATAATTTGTAGATTTGGAGGATGTGCAAAGAAAGGCTCCAAAAATATAGAAAAAGACGGGACAAAAACAGAGAAACCAGGGCAGGCATGGGCAGGGAGGGAGCAGAGGAAAGAAGTGTCCACCTTCATCGAGGGCAAGAGAGAAAGTCCTATGTCTCTATTTACGAGGGGTGTACCGATTTGTTGGGCAGCCGATTTCCTTAATTTTGGAGATTGGCAGATACTTACATGTGAAGCCGATCTTATCCACCAATCTTATCTTCCTCAGCAAAGGTCTAAAAATCAGCCACTGTCCTCTTCTGCTCTCCTGTGAGAGAAATTGACTGATACACCGGTCCACCAGGTCATGTCTGCACGTTGTAGTTAACAATAGTCACCCCTCTGTTGCCAACTCAGTGACTTTGATGCTATATTTAGCAACATTTCAGACAATAAAAAAGTAAAATTGGAATCAGTAGGTCAGGCTTTTTAAAAATCAGTATCGACCAGAAAACTGCAATCGGTGCATCCACCCTTTTTACTTTCCTAGTAGTCATGTAGCTGCTCCTGTTTTGTTTCTTCTACTTAATAACTCAGGGCTTAAAGAAAGAAAGAAAAAAAGAACACATCTTTAAGCTTGGAAAACTATTCAGGATGAAAATAGTGCTACTTGTGAGATTAACTAGAGATCTTGTGACATTGTTACTTTAGTTGGAATATTTATTGCCTTTCTGTTTAATACTTACCTTTTGTTTATCATAGCTGAATTTGTGACCCTCTCTTCTTCTTTGGCTCCATGGTTTACTCCTTTTCCTGTTCTCATCTTCCTCAGCTGCATCTCTCTCCACAGCAAGAAGTTTGTTAAAATAAAATTTCTAAGTAGTTTAACCTTTGTCTTTGCTAAACTGGCACCTAAACTATTTACACTTTTTGACTTGTTGCCTCTTTCCCCAACTTTATGTGGTGCATTTTGGAGAACATTTTTCCTTTTGGTGCCTCTTTCTCTTAAATGTTTGATTTTCATTTATTTCCAAATTAACTGATTCTGCAGTAAATTAGCCAATTTTCAGAATGTCCTTTGTTGGTTTGGAGGACTGATGCTGCAGAAATTGACAATAAAAACATAATAAAAATATAAATCGAGTGCTGCTAATGTCGTTTCTTCCCAGCTCTCTTGTTTCTCGCAGTTCAGCTGTCTTTTACTAAGTGGCTTAGTAAAAGTAGTTAATGTGGCAAATAGTGCATAAAAAACAATAAGAAGTTGATGTTGACCAATAAGAGAGAAGATGACTGAGTACCTGCCAGTTTGGAGAAAGGTAATTGACAATATGAAGACAAGAAAGAAAACAGTAAATAAACAGAAGGGTGGGGAAATTCAAAGAGAAAATATTAAAGGAGAAAATCTGCGATTTAAAAAAAGCAGATGGTAAATAAAAAATAATAAATACAAATTATAAAAACAAAAATGAAATGAAATGTGACCATAACTAAAAACATATAAAATAAATACAAAATATGAAATAAAAATTGAAAAAGAAAACTAAACTAAGATTGGAAAGAAAATGGAAAATCTAAATAATAGGATATATAATGGATGCAAGTTATCACTTAATGAGTTAATCTAAAGTTGATTGATTTTTATTGATCAACTAAAGATTGACAGTCACTTTCTTAAAACATTTCAAGAATGTTTTTTTCTTGTAACTGTCTTTCTATAACACGAAGGGCAAAATTTTTCATAATATGCTGATTATTATGATTACATTTTACTATTATTTTGTGTCAGCTGTGTTAAAGCTCCAACATGTAACTTTTATTGGAAAAATATTTGTTTTCTTGTTGAAACTGTCACTATGTTGTGATGGTATGGGAAGAGACAAAATTTGAAAAAAATCAAGCTCCTCTCAAAACAACCAGGAGGAGGGTCGTAGCGCTGTCAATCATCCTTCTGTGCCCGTTAGCTCTCTGCTATGCTACAGCTGCTTTCAGATTACAGAGCTTGCTGTGCATACTCAGGCTATTGCGCATGACCACCGATGATGGCGGATAAACAGTTTTTCTGTAACAGCACGTGATTTCTCCGTTATTAGCATATTTAGCAGCGCATTCATAGGAGTGAGTGGCAGCGCTAAGACACTCCTCCTCCGTCTGATTGGTGGTTTTAGACTGGGAGTGGTGCATTTCTTCAGACTGCAGAAGTAGCAGAGGGAGGAGGTGGAGGAGCTTGATCTTTTCACAGATTATCTGTCATGGTGACAGTTTTAACAAAAATGTGAAAAAGCTGCAGTATGTAACTTAAAAAAATTGCAAATGGCTTGTACTTGTATGCAGCTTTAAATACTGAATGAATACATAGAACATTTTCCTCATTACATATTTACAAGGTATAGCAAAAATAGGAGCCTCTTACGCTGTTGACTAGAAACTGATTCAGTTACTGGATTCAAGTGTGTTGGACCAGGGAGACATCTGAGAGTTGCAGGACACCGGCCTTCAAGGACCAGGATTGCCCACCCCTGTTCTAGAAGGAATGTTAAAACTTGGCTCATAACGGTCCTCAAAATCAAACTTACTTATCTGGTGCTATGTTTGCTCCCGCAATCGTTCTGCCTCATCCCTTCCACTTTTCTGTCCTCACATCACATCAGAACTGAATGAGTAGTTGTTGCTTCTCCAGCTCAGCTGAATGAATGCTATTAGAGTGAAACTTCAGGAGCTTGTCAAGTGTTTATGTTTCAAAATAGATCTATAAAAAGTATGTTTTGCACCCCACACAACTGTTTCTCTTTTCTGTTTTTGGTCTGGCCCTGCCATCTTTATTCCTGTATGGAGTAGTTCCGTTAAGTATGTCCATTGGTGCCCTCTTCTGGATGATCGTCAAACTACAGCAGATGTTACTTAAATTATTGGAACTAATTTTAAAATAACAAACCGTTAGCGACTACTTTATCATAAGTCAATTAATTGTTTGTATCCTTAGTGCAAAATTTTACTGTTAAAAATTATACAGAAATATTATCTCTGTAAAATCTAGTAAGTTTGTGAAGTTCTTTGTATTGCTTGGTATCTTTGCACATTATTTACTCTGGCCAGTCATTTACTTATTTCTATTTTTATTACTATTTTTTGCAGGATCAGTCTTCCATCATTCATCTTCACTTCATCTACATTACTTCTTCACATTTCTGTGAATTTGTACATGAAGGTTTAATGACTGGATTTAATGTTTGGAGTCCTCTGACTTGATAAAGCACTTTATAATTTCAGGCAATTTATAATTTCTGGTAAAAATTTTAGTGATGTTAGATAAAGCTTCGTGATGCATTGAGGCTTTCCATCAAATTGCTCCACTCATGATCTGACCAGCTATGGTGCTTCATTTGCTCTACCACTCCATCATGTGGACAATATATGTATAACAGGCAACTTGAAAATGAAGCTTTAGTTTGAATAATCCAATGAATGATGTTTGTGAGGCCAACACATAGATTCTGAATATGGTCTGAATATTGTCATAATCGGTTTATGTTGCAATAACTGGATCGAAAAGAAAACTGGAAACAAATGGAGGAGAGGGTTGAGTTGTGAAGGGTCTTTTTACTTTGTAACTATACTCACGTCACTAGTGGCAAAATTTTATTACACATATCATTTTTCTGCTTTAAAGCATTTTTTACTATGCTCTGCTTCAGACAGTTTCTCTGTTTTGAGATGATTTCGTCCGATATAGCAAGCAGATGAAGCGCTTCATCTGCACTCTGTGCTTGTGTAGTGAGAAATGCACCAGCAGTTTTATAGAAATTAAAATTTCCTGTCCTTTCCAATATTTATAATTCTGCAGTTGCATAGTGTTACCATATGTTTATATGCTGTCTTATTTTTGCATCTTAAATCGACTAAGCCGAGCGTGGCAACTTGGTCCAATATTAGTATTCTTGCCTTCATGCAGGGCTCTGTAATGCCTCAGCAAAGATCAGGTCTTTTTCATTTCATTAAAGTTCATTTAAACACAACAGACACTCTGATGTTATAAAGGCCTCACCCTTTATAACATCAGAAATTAGGAGAAAGAAATTAGACCACAGGAGCTGCTGTGTTGGGTTTTTGACATTATCATAAATTATTTTATTATTACTATGTGCTGAGGATTTTATGAGGGGAGATCAAAATGTTGCCACACATGGGAAATGTTGGTCCATCTCAAAAAAAGGTGCTCAAATAAATTGCAAACACACATGCAATAAAATCCTAAAACCAAAAATATGTCATAAGGGATACGGCTGCTTTTTTTTCTGTCCTTTATTTCAATTCACAAGCAAACTGAGGAGCCAGTTCCTCAAGTCACGTAGTATGGGCCCACAAGGCTTCAAGCAGATCGTCTGTCTCATTTTGTCATGTCATTGACATTGTGTTCTTGTTTTCTTCCAGCTTCCTATTAAGGTTGGACATCAGAACACACACAGCAAAGTCAGCACAGACCACAACAAAGAATGCTTGATCAACATCTCAAAGTACAAGTTCTCCCTTGTTATCAGCGGCCTCACCACTATACTCAAAAATGTCAACAACATGGTAAGTGTTGCAGTAATCATAGTAATCTGTTTGTGGAAAAAGCCAGTAATGGCAACAACAGATTTTTTTTTCACTACTGTCACAATTACTGTTCTTCTGTTTCTGTTTCCTTGATTGTCTTTGGTAGTCACATGCAGACTGGACATGTTTAAGATAACTCAATGAAGAATTTTAGTGTACACATTTTTAATTGGAATAAGAAATAAAAGTCTTAGTCTTAAAAGTCTTGTAATATTTCTAACAGACTCGATACAAAACCTTAGCTTGGTCAAGAAAGAATGTTCTCAGCTCTTAATAAATGAGCATATCGTAAGCTACTAAATCAAAGCTGCCTGAGAGCATGGCTAATAGTTTTATGCAGGAGTAAACTCTATTGTGCGGTGCATGACTGACTGGTTGTTTCTGAACTCTGCAGAGGAACTAGATTTTTTTTCTCTTTTTTTTCCCCACATACAAATGTATCTGCTTTGATTTAGGGAAATCTGATCTTCTGACTAAATTGATGACATTTTTGTGACATTATCAGTTCATTTCCATTAATATTTCTGATCCAAAAATGTTTTTAGGAGAAAAAAATAGCTTTTTATTAGCGTATTAATTAAATGTTACAAACTTGGATTTCTGTAAATTGAATAATAAACACTGATAAAGGTAAGTACATGTGCCTTGAACATTATGTCTTCATTGTGTAAAATTCTCCTTCTCTTTTCTGTCCTGATGGAATCTCTCCTCTTGCTCATCACTCATGGATCCAGATGTGAAAACAAGTCATGCATTTTGATGCTCATGTTGCTCCATAGTTCAGAAAGTTGACCTTATGGAGAAAAACCAACGTGATTTTTGGATTCAGCTCATCAAAATGACCCTAAAACTGTTGGAAAACCCCAGACAAGTTTTTGGCTGTTGACCAGTGTAATCGATGGATATATGCGTGTGTGTGTGTGTGTGTATATATAATGTGTGGGTGCATTTGTATGTATTTATCTTTTACTGCTCCAATGCATTACATTGATGGGTTTATTTTTTCAACAGCGGATATTTGGAGAAGCCTCCGAGAAGAACCTTTATCTTTCTCAGCTCATCATCCTTGACACGCTGGAGAAGTGCCTGGCAGGGGTGAGTATTTTCTCAGATTTCTTTGACAAATTTCCTGCATGGTATTATATTTAAAATGTTTGTAGAACTATTATGCAAAAAGAAAAATGGAAACTTCACCATTAATCCAATTTGTAGAAATAGAAATAGATAAGTTTTACATCTCCTGCCTCATCTTGAACTTGAACTGTGAGAATATGTGATTACTTTTTTTTTGTAGTAGCTGCTGACTCATAGATAATCCACTATTTCAAACTGGACAATCAAATTAAACTGCTGACATTATTTTCTTCCCTCCCCTGTCTCTCCAGCAATCTAAAGACTCCTTGCGTCTGGATGAGACCATGTTGGTGAAGCAGTTGCTGCCAGAGATCTGCCATTTCATCCACACGTATCGTGAGGGTCACCAGCACGCGGCAGAGCTGCGTGCCTCTGCCTCGGCTGTCCTGTTCTCTTTGAGCTGCAACAACTTCAATGCCGTTTTCAGCCGCATCTCAACGAGGTAAGACATTTACCCAGGGCACTGTTATTTTAAATGCTTCTATAACCAGGAATAATGAAAAAGTAGTTGTTAAATCAGTAAAGACATAGTTATCTCCATGTTTATGGTAATAAAATGTTTTCATTATACATAAAAATGGTAGAATTGAGATTTGTAACGCTATGGAAATACTATATTAAAGCTGCTGTAGTAGTTTTATAAACAATGTTTTTTTTTTGTTTTTTTTTTTACATATCTGTTAAAATTGTAACTATGTCATGACAGTATAACATGAGACACTCGTGTATGTGTGCTTAAAGCGTAGAAATTACTTCCCGTTACAGGAAAACTGTTTACACCCGTCACTGGCGACCATGCTTACTAACCTGAACCTTCATGCCAGACTCTCTGGCGATCTAGTGGGAACTAGCTGCTGCAAAGCAGAGAGAACGGGGGAGAGTGTGAACAGCACTTATATGAGGATGACTGACTGACCCTCCTCGTGGCTCTGATTAGTTCTGACTAAGCTGTGTATTTCTGCAACTAGCAGTAAGAGCACAGGAGCTTCACTTTTTTTTTTTAACAGATGTATCTCATATGTACTGCCACGACATAACGTCATTTTGAACAGATATGTAAAAAATAAAACACAATAATTTTTAGTAAAAGTTGCGTACTGCAGCTTTAACAAATTCAAGTACAGTGGGAGTTATTCTGACTGCCAATATTTTTTGCATTTAGAAAATTCCCACAAGCTGCATTAAATTAGTGGTAAAATATGTATATCATGTAATTGTTTAGAAACTGAGGCAGAGGTGTGCAACCTGCAGTTCCAGAGCTGCAGGTGACTCTTTGGACATTTCAAAATGACTTTTTATCATTTTAAGCCAGAATCATTAAGAATCAACTGATATTTTAAGCATAAATGTAATTACACATCCTGGTTTCTCCAAAATAAATAGTGGATATAGTTTACGACTCTTTATTAATGAACCATGTTTGTTATTCAAATAAACAATATTATAATTTGATCAGTTTTCAAAGGCCATTTTACATCCAGTCAGGTAAATGAAAGCTTTTCTGTCACAGGCTGCAGGAGTTGACGGTGTGCTCAGAAGACAATGTGGATGTTCATGACATCGAGCTCATGCAGTACATCAATGTGGACTGTTGCAAACTGAAGAGGCTTCTGCAAGGTTGGAATTTGCTTATTTAATATTGTTGGTCTTTAAAAAAAAAACAAACAAAAAAAAAAAAACTGCCTGACAACTTTAAGAACTATTGACTACTTAACCTGAAGGGCAATGTCACATTGAATGGGAGTGAACATTATGTAATCATTTATTTTATGTTGGGTGTTTTTATTGTGATTTTTTTCACACAAAAAAATATTTTTTCACTTTTATGTTAAATGATTTTTTTATTTTAAAAAATTGTCAAAAGAAGCTAAATATTGTTGATCAAGACTGTAGTATGGTAAATCATCCAAGGAGCTGAATACTTTTATATACTTTATGTACAAGATCTTGATCTCAGTGGGGTTTTACCTGGTTAAATAAAGGAAATAAAAATATATGCTATATATATATATATATATATATATATATATATATATGCTACATTGTTTGTATGCATGTACGTATGTTTCAGTTTGAACATCACCCCATTTATTCTCCAGACACATCAGGATATTTAGTTGTGTATGATGTTTTTTTTCTTCTTTTCATTAGAAACCGTTTTAAAGTTCCGGGCTCTCAAGAAAGCTGCACAGCTTGCTGTCATCAACAGTTTAGAGAAGGTGTTTCCTTACTGTAATAAAGAATAAAAGCATCATTTTATTTACTTCATGGAACCAGAATAAGATTAAATGATCCTGGTTTTTCTCTGCAGGCATTTTGGAACTGGGTAGAAAATTATCCTGATGAATTTACGATGCTGTACCAACGCCCTCAGACAGATATGGCTGGTATGTATAGATTTAATTTTTGTGAACTTTGAACCACCAGAAACACGTCTTCAAATGATTGCATCACAGTGATGGTGGTATTTACACCTCACCATCCACCCAACTACCTACAATATGGAGCGCAGTGTAACTACGATGTCCATGCACGTCAGATATCTATTAAAATATTAATGTTACCATGATATGAATAAAATAAGCAAAGTTTGGGCATAATTATGGAGTTGACCATTTCAGTAACGTCACCAAATGCACTTGGACCATTTGTTTCCCCAAGACAAAAATTTCAAAAAAAAAAAAAAAAAAAAGTCAAATAGTTATATTCAAAACATTCCATCCTCAAGGAGGCAGCTAAAAGCTAGCACACAGCGCTAATACAAGCAGAAGGCTCAATGCTCCCATCAAACCGATGGCCAGGACGTCATCATCATGATATTCATGTCTAAAATAAAATTTGCTTTCATTTTTCGCTTTATTTAGAGATTTTGCTGTGTATCTGCTTTCAGTAGAGAGAAGGAACTGATGCCTCAGTCAGACAAAGTCTTTCTTGATAACCACTGATGTGGGTACATTCCTGAGAAAAATAAAATTTAACCAGAAACTTCATAGAGGCTCTGATGTCTGGGAGCGACGTCAGGAATCTTGTGCGTTGTCGTATGAATTGGACTGTTGTCTGTTTAGGATCCAATTAGATTTTGTGTCATTAAATTCTGTGTTGCTCATGAAATGAATTAGATCTGCTTCTCCTGTGAAGTGTTTGAGTGTGAATCAGCACTAACATACGTTGTTTCATCTTGTTCACAGAAGCGGCAGAGAAGCTGTTTGACCTGGTAGACAGTTTTGCAGAGAGTGCCAAGAGGAAGGCAGCTGTATGGCCGCTCCTGATCATTCTACTGATACTTTGTCCAGAGATTACTCACACAATCTCTAAAGACACAGTGGAAGAGAGCAAAGCCAACAAGGTGGATTGAAGGAACTCTCCAAACAGTCACATTTAAACAGGTCATTGGTGTCATCAGTCACCTCACTTCTGTGTTGTGTCTGCAGAAACTCTTTTTGGATAATTTGCGGAAAGCTCTAGCTGGCCAGGGTGGGGGCAAACAGCTGATGGAGAGCGCTGCGATTGCCTGTGTCAAGCTTTGCAAAGCTTCTACTTACATCAACTGGGAGGATCATTCAACCATTTTCCTTCTGGTCCAGTCTATTGTCATGGATCTCAAGGTTTGACTTCTCTCTTTTTTTTTCCTTTATTGAAATAACGACAAAATGTCCTTCTGTATAAAAGTCATGGTTCATTTATATCAAATACCATTTAAATTGGGGTACACATTAGCTGTTCAGTTTTGAGTGAGGTTTTCTTGTTCCTCCAGACTCTGCTGTTTAACCCAACCAAACCGTTCTGGAGGGGGACCAGCAGTCAGAACGCTGACGTGGAACTCATGGTGGATTGCTTTGTTTCATGTTTCCGTATCAATCCTCACAACAACCAGCAATTTAAGGTAGATTGACAGGATGTAGAACTCATTGTATAGACATTCTGCTCTTGATAAATGTGCTGCCTTTGAGTTCATTTTTCCTTTTTGCCCTTTAGGTCTGTTTGGCCTCCTCCTCCCCCTCAACCTTCCACTTTGTCTTGGTCAACTCATTGCACAGAATCATTACCAATGTAAGTATAGAACACATTTTCTGATTACTTACTCACTTGCTTTTTTTAAAAGTTTTTTTGACATGTTACTTTCTTTGTGTCACCTACTTTCAGTCTCATCTAGACTGGTGGCCGAAGATCGATGCAGTGTACCATTACTCTGGAGAGCTTCGCTTTATGTTCTCAGACACCCTGAACCGGGTGGTACAGAGCACTGGCACTCATGCTCCACTACGCATGACACCGGTGAGCTGATGACTGCAAGCCGTACAGCTGACATATTGCAATAGTTATTATAAGTATCTATTGGCAAGACTTTATTGAAGGATCATTACAAGATAACGCATTTGGAAATGCTATTTGTAGTTGCAGTAATCGTCACCTGTGTGCCCTTTGTCTTACTATAGAGTCTGACATTCATTGGAAAGAAGACCACAAGCCTTAAGTTTAAAGAGAAAGCCACAGAGCAAGACACTCGAAGTTATAAGTGCCTTCTTCTCGCTCTGGTCAAGCTCATCCATGCAGACCCAAAGCTGATGTTGCACGTAAGTAAACCTAACCTGGTGACTTGGATAAAAATAACTGTTATTAATGCAATTCTTTTGCTCAGGCTGATTTTTTTATTTATTTATTTTTTAATGGTTTTATGCTGATTTAAATGGAATTCAGCTAATTGTGAGGCTACAGCAGCAACATCTGTTTAAGTCAGAGTTACTTTAGCTTGATTTCCACTTTATGTGATAGAATCCAGTGAAGCAAGCTTCAGAGATCCAAAGCAGTACAGCAGAACTCATCACTGGCTTGGTGCAACTGGTTCCTCTGAACACCACTACTCAGCTGTCACAAGAAGCCATGGAGGTCAGACTGTCATTTCCTCACTGCCATGCTAGTTTCTTTTTTAGAAAGCAGCCCTCTACAGGTACATCTCAGGAAATTAGAATCCTTATATCTAAATCACTCCATCTCCTGCCCATTGACATTGTGAATACACTGAGACTTGACTCTGATGTATACTCTTTAAATCATTTGTATCTGTTTATATATGTGGTTACACTGCGGTCAATTGTTTAATTGATTTCTAAGATGCGAATGAAAATGATCTGTTAATGGAATGTGATGGACTTCAGTGTAACATGTAACAGTTGATGAGTTGGCCTTTAAAACTATGGAAACTTTGTGGCATTCAACAAAAGTGAGCCTATTAAAAATAAGTCACAACAACTGGTCATTAGCATACCAGTGCTTATATTATTATTAATATAGATTTGGTCCAAAGGTGACTGCTCTCCTGACACATTGTACACTGATGTCTGTGAATCAGTAGAAATCAGTTAATCTTTCTCTAGAAGAGGCCTGAACACAAGAAAACTCCAACTAAAATTTACATAAAGTAATGGTTTTATTATAGTTACTCATAAATGTTTTATGTCTTGGCAGTAATTCACTAATACATAGAGTTTTTTTTTCCTTCCCTCTCTTCTCTGTTTAATTTTCAGGCTCTGTTAGTTCTGCACCAGCCAGAGACCATAGAGCTGTGGAACCCTGATGCCCCCATTGAGACATTTTGGGACATCAGGTACTAAACTCTTCCCTGGCCTCTGTTAATAGAATAGAATAGAATATACTTTATTGATATTCTATCAGTTACTTAATTAAAAAAATAATTAATTCTATCAATTATAATTAATCACACATTTTGTAATTCAGTTCAATCTATTTTTTTTTTTTTTTAGAAGAAAAGGTGTATAAGTGACGCCTTCATATTAAAATGGCTTTTAACATATGGATACGTTCATCATAATATTTACTAGCTTACTGCCAGCAGAAATGAATGCACCTGCTATGGCCTTTTAATATACATC